AAACAAAATTTCTAACATCCATATTTTTGAGTTTTCTATCACAATTTACGTTAATATGCATTCGTTCTTCTTCTTAGTCACAATGGTAATTTTGTATGTTGAAATTTAAGGTATAATGTAGCAATTAAATGTGCCACCATCACTCTTGGTATGCATGACTCAGCTTAGATTGTTCAATGCTATGTTTTGGATCTTCATTTCATTTTATCTTTAAATTACGAATGAGATTATTATGCTTCAAGTTTGTCTGTACAGATGAAGCTCTTGTTAAGCAAAAGTGGAGGAGTCCAAATAGAATAATTGTGATCCAAATCTTAGTGGCTCATCATATTTTTCTTACCCCGCAGGCACAGTCTTCAGTGAACCAATTCTCTGCAAAAATGTTCCTCGACTGATACCAGGTAGAAACTATTTCATTTTAATTCTAATTTTACTTAATATTTCCCTTTAGTTTTTGGGTATATTCACTCTTTCCTTGGGTTATGGAATAATATGTACACTATTTACTCTTGCATTCAAGAAGCCATGCTTTTAGTGATCAATACCGAGCAACTGATGGAAAGCTAAAATTGGTGTTTGGTAATGAACTTTATTCATTTTTTTTACACTTAGATACATATCAAACGACACATCCTTAAATTTTTACTCCTGCTCTTAACAAGCAAAGAGTAATTTCATTAATAAACTTTCCATGTGGCATGTACAACACTGAAGAGGCTTGGTATTTCAAAATTTACAGAGTTTTGGCATAAGAATATTTAGGGTGCGGTTGGTTTCCATTTTCATTTTTAAAACTATTTTTAGTTTTTCCAGAAAACGGTCTGTTTTCCGCTTTTGAGCGTTTTCGACATTTATAATTGAAAACACTAAAAACAATAAAAAGTCGTTTTGCGTTTTCAGTTATAAATTTTAACGTTTTCGAAAATGCGTTTTTGAAAACGACGGATCAAACGCGTTTTCGCATTTTCGAAAACGGAAAACGGAAAATGGGTCGAAAATGACTAACCAACCACGGCCTTAATTTTTGGACACTAAAATATTTCTTGGATGCTTGTGGGACAGTCAATTTGTTCCTATGCTGAAGCTTCAATGAACGACATGCGAATTATTCTCTGTGCTTGGAATCCTTATGATCTTAAGTTAATGTCTGCTGAATAATTATTTATATATGATGCTTTACTTTTGTAGTGGCTTTTGTTTGGGGGTAAATTCTTTTTTGCTGCCTTCTTTTTTGTGTTTGTTTTGGTTGCAGAACTTAAGGTAAGGTGAGACCTACACATCAACATCATCATCATATGGCGACTTCCAAACACGGTTGCAAAAATATTGGTTCAATATGAGTCAGCGGTAAGTTTGTTGGAAATTGCATTCTTCAAAATAACGATGTTGACAATTTGATAATTATATCAAGTATTTCTTATAATGTCAGAAAAATACCTGAGGAAATTTCTGTAGAATTCACATATGACACCTATTTGGCTATCTTACATTCATTCTCAGAGGTTCGTATCTTTTGATATATGCCTCCTTAAACTTTTATTTATGGAAAACTATTGGAGCTTTTTAATGATCCACTCATTCATCATAGGTTGAGAACATGTTATATTCATTTTACTTTTCAATAAAGGCATATATATTTTAATCTTACCCTGTCCATAGAGTCATGTTAGACAAGGAACAGATTTTTTGACAATGATGTTCTTCAATTTTGTACTTATCTACTTTTATTTTATCTATTCTTCTATTCCTCACAAATCCCTTTGATTTCTGTCTTGAAGGTCTTCACTGCCACTGGAAATTTCTACATATGTCCCATAGCTGTGGGAATGATTGTTGAAATCATTGTAATGTACCTAATTCAACATCAATCTTATC